GATATAAATTCCTTATTTGATAATTTTGCTTACACAAAGCTCTTTATCTGATAATACACTGGTCATTCCCTTATTATTACTTTACATATTGTGTGCCATGAAAATAAATTATCTAAAAGAGAGCTGTCACTTTATAAAAAATAATAAATAAAAACGGGTAGCAGAATGTTGTAGTCATTAAAAAAGGAATGCTGGTTAAACAATATACTATTAATGTTTATGATATTAAATTAATAGGTTAAAATAAATTGGCAAAGTTCATTATAAAATACAAAGGAAATTTCTTGCAAATTGCAAACGTCATGTCAATATCAATGTCGATAACAACTTATTTATATTATATATTTGCGTAATGATTTTTATTTTTTATTATGAAAAGAAGGTTGCGAAATGCATTGATTTTTTTATCTACACACTCTTTTAGACAAAAAATATTCTAAAGTTTTGTTTATTTTACTAGATAAGTTATAATAATTACAAATTTTGTTTTAAATTAAAGAATCTACATGCTGCACACTCGCCATTGTAAAGACTCATTAAAATGCTAATAAAAATATAGTTTATAAAAACTAAAAAACACGCTTTTAGAGCATATCAAACTAAAAAGTTTTATAATAATTTTTTTAACACGCTTTTATTCAAATAAGCTTAAAATAATAATAAATGGAAAATACTAGTATTATTGTGAAAAAAGCGTCGGGCGCTCGATGTACGAGAAATATGAACAAAGCGCCCCACGCTTTTTTCACAATAATACTAGTATTTTCCATTTATTATTGTTTTATGCTTATTTGAATAAAAGCGTGTTAAAAAAAATATTTTTAGCTTTTTAGTTTGATATGCTCTAAAAGCGTGTGTTTTAGTTTTTTTTAAACTATATTTATTTTTAATTTTTTAGTTCGATGTATTATAAAAGCGCGTTTTTTAGTTTTTTAAACTATATTTATTTTTTACTTTTTAGTTCGATTAATTATTAAAAAAAAAAAAATTGTAAGTTGAAATTGCTGAAAAAAAAAATTATTTTTTTTTTCAGCCGTGGGAATTAGAACCCACGATCGGTGAGTCGGCAATCGAAAACCCGCGCCTTAGACCGCTGGGCCAACGAACGAACTTGACTTAGTGGGATATACTGACAGTAATAAGCCACTTGAGTCCAAAGGAGAGTTACAAACATACATACATACAGGTGAAGCTAATATAAGCGTGTTAAAAAAGGTAATGTTTCAATAAGAAAATTATGAAAATTCCAAAAAAGTGTTTTAAATTTTAATAAAACAAAAATTGAACATTATTTGATCATCTTGGTAGGTAAAAATAAATAACTATTACACTGGCATTGAGTAAGTAAGAATTTAAATGTTTTAAAAACGCAAAAAATATAATAAAAACATTTTAGTAGTAAAGGCCTAAAGCCCACTGCATATTTTGGCCGACCTCTGTTAACGAAATGAAATATGCCCCAAATATACCCCAATGTAAAAACATTGTACTTTACCAAACGAAACCTGTATCAACCACTGATCTGTTACAGATCAGTGTATCAATCACTATCCTGAACTAAGTGGTTAAAATAATTGCACTTCCGGTGCCATAATTAGCGAGAAATGTCACGATTTGAGTAAGGTTGGATCCAGGACGAATTTTCAGGAGAGCTATTGTCATTAGCCATTTCCTTTTTTAGCATATTTTTAAAATTGTAAGAATTTTCATCTCGGGGGGCATAGCGTCCATATTCCTCCATGCTTGCTGCCCCCAGCTTTTCTTAATGTACTACCTTTGGTCGTTGTTAGTTTGGATCCCCAGTCAACATGTTTAGCGTTAAGTTCTCCCCGACGATAAACCTCTTTCCAGGATGTTGCAGAAGGGTTAGATAGACTTCTTCCTTAAGATTGTGCCTGGGTGGACAGAAGACTGTACCAATGCTTAATAATTTCTCTGTTTTGTAGACTGTAAGTTAAATATCTACCCGTTGTAAGTGACATTCTTCAAAATTATTAATTGATTCCTTACTACCACTTTTGGCTTGATCGTCTGAATGAATAGTGTGGTATATTTTATAACTTGTTATCTTGATATAAGACTGACTTGTCATATGTGTCTCAGATATAAGATATATGACTATATACTGGGTGTTAAGGAAGACTTCTAAGTCATGTTTTTTGTTGAGAAGGCCATTGACATTCCATGTAGCGATTTTTAGATCTTTAAAAGACATAAAATTTACTTTTTGAGTATAGCTCCAGCTTCTAATGTGTCGAGTCTTTCATTGACTCGTTCAAGAGTTTTCATAATACTCTGTATAAGTTGTGATGTAGTTAAATCTGTCGATGATAAAGCAGATGAAGATTTTACTGGTATATTTTGGGCTATTTGCGAAAGACCCAAGAACTGACTAGATTTGGATCAATCGCTCTTGATTGGTTAGTAGTTTTCTTGGCTTTTGAGATATTTCTTCCTTTTTGTAGCTCTGTATCCTCTGTAATTTGTAGGATGAGCTTCTGAGAAGTTGCAGGAGTATTCCTAGGCTATGTACATTCAGCTGTCTTGTGATAACCAGCAAACCTAACACAGACATGTGTTCTGTTGCAAAATCTCTGAATTTATTATTTCTTATAGCCTCTATTTTAACCTTCATACGCAATATAAAGTTATAATAGAACAAATAGAAGAGCCAGAAGTGGCAGGTACGGTTCATATATACACCGACGGTTCTAAAACAAAACAAGGCTCAGGATGTGGAATATATTCCAGATTCTTAAACCTAAACAGAAAATGGGCTGTGAGCAATAGTGCCAGAGCTAACGGGAATTCTCATAGCAGCAAAAGAAATAATCAGAAACAATTTCACTGGAAGGAACATGCTCATCTATACAGATAGCAGATAAGCACTACTCACCCTGAACAGACCACAAATTTACTCAGGGTTAGTATTAGAATGTCACGAAGCTTTGGCCTAAGTATCCATCAACAATGGATAAAATGGATCAAAGGTCACGCCACATCGAAAGGTAACCAACCGTCTTGCTGATTCACTAGCCAAGAAAGCAGCTAATCAAATACTTTTTGGACCTGGCCTTCTATTGGCCTGACAAAATCGGTAGTGACAGACCTAATTAAAGAGCATTCCCTTGTGAAATTCAGGGAAAGATGGGATGAAACAAGAAACTGCAGAGTTGCCAGGAAGCTCCTAAGTTATCCTGACAACACTACAGCAAATAAATACTTGACTATGACTAGACAGAATTTGCACCTAGTCACAGGCATTCTAACTGGTTATTGCCAAGTACGGAAGCATCTCCATATCATGAGGCTGTCAGAATACGCACTCTGCAGAGGGTGCGAACAAGAAGATGAGACCAACGAGCATATCTTCTACGATTGCTCGACGCTCTCATTTATTAGAAGATTTGTGTTCGGCGAGTATCGGCTAACACCGGCCGATATAAGTGAAGCACCTCTTGGCGACGTTGTCAACTACATTAAATCTGTAGGCTGGCTCACGAGCTAGGAGGTGCCTATCATCTTAGGAGGATACACAATGGGCCTAATGAGGCTTAAGTGCCGTGGGGGTAACCCACCCTCCACACGTTACAGATACAGATCATAGCTGACATTAATTTTAATGTGTTAGATATTCATTATACTTGTCTTGTATTCAAAATTTCAATGTTTTAATTTCTTATTGACTACATTATAGTCTTTTACGTTGCTTAAAATGACTGGTAGTGGCTCTTTTTTAGGACATTCTTCGACTTTCTCTGGTGATTCTGTTCAGGGCCGCCGAGAGTCAGGTCGGGCCCCAAGACAATTCTCCAAATCGGGCTCCGCGACAATTTTATAAAAAAATAAAAAAAAGGTCTTCAAGAAAAATTTCTCCTTCTCTACTTGAATTTCTCTAAAAAAAAAAGTCTTCAACCAAGAACTTCCCCTCTCTTGTGTCGAACTACTTCTGAAAGTAACAAAAAAATCCTCGCTACAGTTGCCGGGCCCCCATTTGAGCCCAGGCCCCGGGAATTAGTCCCGGCTGCCCCCCCCTCTTGTCGGCCCTGATTCTATTGCTTTACGATTTTTTTTATTATGTTTGGATTTAGGCAAAAGCCAATTCGTTTTTCTGGAGACTAATTTGTCTTCATCATCTGAATTGAGTGGACTAAAATTGGTTCCCATTTGTGTTTTTCCTTTCTTGCTTAACTGTGCTAAAACCGTGTTTTGCTTCTGTAATGTTTCATTTTGTTCTCTTAGTAGTTTTATAAAAAATTTAAATGAATAAATATGTAGTACGCAGTTTCATATACAAAAATATGTTATTATAGAAAAAAAAATACCCGTGCACTTAATCCAAATCGATGGAATGATAAAGTACGAGAAAATAAAACGAACTAGTATTTAATTTGCAGTTACACAAAGATGTCGTCATTTAATCTGCCTCTCATTCTAATATTGAAGTATTGACACCTAGCTGTTAATTTGTTAAAGACCATGAAAATGTTTCGAAAATATTCAGGTTATAAAAAACATCCAGACGCCTACAGACAGATCTTAAACAAAAAACAAAAAATAAACAACTAAAGCAAGAAAATCCAGCAAAGTGAAGCATCAAATTAATTAAACTTTTCCACCTGCCTTCCCTATAAAACCCCTGTCTAGTTTATTGTACCCTGTTTATTTCGTTTTCTAGTCGAATTAAGTCAGTCCGAGCGCGGAAAATGGTGAAAAATTGCTATGTACACGAACCAGCGGAGTTGGAAAAATGGAAATAAATTAATCAAGACCACGATGGAAGTCTAAAGGTCGAAATAAGATAAACGAATGCTCTTTAATTGAATAATGCCCAGTCATTATTCAGCAGCAAACTCTTTAACATTTGGCGTACAAGGGAAACATTTATTTGTTTGGTGAGCTAGAAAAAATTTAAAAAGAAAGAGAAATTTAATTTGTATTTAACCATCTAATTGCAGAATTTTTAGCGTTAATGTCGGTTCTTAATGATAGGTACTTACTTTGACAGTGTAAATTAGGCAGTGAACTGTTCCAAAACGCTCCGTGGCATCCAACACTCTTTATTCTAGTACCCGTATCGGGAAACTGATATCCCAGACAACAGCTAAATATCATAAGCGAATTATTCCTTAAAAAAATAAACAAAAAATTAGAAAATTGTTAAAAGTTAACTGGCGGACAAAGTAAAAAACCTAAGGTCATTCAGCATTCGTATAAGCTATGCTTAGAGCCCCTCCAGATGAATCACTCGTGGTAACACTCAGTAGCGTCACTACGTGGCAGGCAAATGCTCGACATTCAATTCAGAGTCCGTCCAGACAGATGCGTCTGAACTCTTCTACGATTTCTACGCAAACACCTTCTTACAAAAAACGTTAAAGAGTCATAGTGACACAGGCAAATTTACATTACCTTCTCACATGAGCCTACCATGGAATCGCGCTACGCTGCAGCTAGCACGTCAATACGAAGTGGCGCTACAGGGTGGTTGATCTGGACGAAGTAGCGACCCTCAAATGCTGGAACCATCCACACCAGTTATCTCTGGTCCACACGGATCACTTTTGCAGTCGACTTCTACGAACCCTGACCAAGATAATTTTACTTTGACTGACAGGGTACAGTATTTATCTATTACATAATAAAATTGCCCGAATAATAAACGTTCAGATGTAATTGGGCGCGTTCAAAATCTACAAGTTCTATGTTAACACCGTCTTACGAGAAACGTTAGGTATCCAAGAAAATCAAAGTATGTGTAGGTGTCCATATAATGACAATGGAAAACTTTATTTATCTTCCAACATGAGCCTAGCATGGAGTCGCGCTACTTTACAATTAGCACATCCACACGAACGATTAGTAGACGCCAGTACAGCCTACTGAGTGACGCCACAGAGGGAATCATCTGGACAGACCCTTAATGTACGGATGAGCTTAGCTTTTACTAGGACTCCGAACAAAAGTTTTTCTTTGGCGCATCAGCAATAAAAAGTAATGAAGGATAGTTAGCGAAGGATGGAGTATATATGTCAGAAATAAAATTAATTCTTGTAATCCTACCTATATACTAAGTAGGCATCATTCGGTATATTGATTTCCGGACATCCTACGGCTCTATAATGGATCAGCACCCCCCTTCTGGGGTTTATTTTGTGACTAGAACTAAGCACTATTTCAATTGACTCTGTTCCCGAAATAACTTCTGAAGGCGGATGATCTTGGTAACAAGTCGAGTAGATTACTTGACCCGTGTCCTTTATTTCTAATATGTCGCTGCAACCTGGACGATCAACTGCAACATAAAAAAAGATCATTAATTTAAAATATTATTTTACAAATAAGTAGAAGCCGTAAAGTATTAAATAAATAAAATAAAACAAAAATGAATATCACACTATATTTATATAAAACTATGGTTCTATTTTCCGATGATGGCATACTTAACCGGGAAAGCAGCAGACTGTTCAATACCTTGAAAGGGATACTGCCCATCTTTTTTAAAGGGAAGATACTTGAGAAATCGCCGCTGCACATTTTCCAAAGATTTTTATGAATATTGTGTAAAGAGTTTCAGATAAGAGATGCATATTCTAGTTTGTAACAAACTAAAGAAAAGTAAAAGATCTCCAAGCTTTGAAGTTTGTAAAAGAACCCTAAGCTTTTTAACGTAGAAGCAACGGTATTATCAATATCAATATGATTCGAAAAAGTACATTTTTTATCGAATATTTAAGGCGTGCACAAGATGACAGACGTATGTCGTTAAATCTTCTTAATATTTCTAGTATGTGAACAGACTTTACATTTGGATACCTCTATATAAACAACTTGTTTTTATTACACCAATTTTCAATACATATATCCAAATGGTAGGACCCGATTACAATTAGAAGAACACAGCTACGTCATCATTTGGCAACGTAATTAGTTGCTTATCGCCACCTAATGGGGGTTTAGTGGAGTGTTAATATTATAGAAATATAGGAAATATTGTTTTACACTTAACAACTTACTTAATTTTTGTTTTTTGAAAGTTATAAATAATATGTATTCGAAATTCAAAGTAATGGTTATGACGTAGCTGTGTTTTTCTAATTGTAATCGGATTCTAGCAGTCTTGAATTGTTGAAATTGAGGTGAACTCTTTTTAAGTCGTCAGCGAACAGCAGGTGACTGCATGTTAAATTTATTGCCAAGTCATTTATGAATATACTAAATAACAGAGGTCCCAAATTGGTCCCCTGTGGAACTCCAGATATTACTGTGAATTGTGACGATGTAAAGCCGTTGTAAAAGACATAATTCAAACGAAGAATATAAATAAAAGAAGGCCAACTTTGGATGCTTATGAAATTCCTGAAGACGCTTCTCTTGCTTGAGTCATTTATGAATATACAAATAACAGAGGTACCAAATTGGAGCAATGTGGACCTCCAGATGTGGCTTTGAAGGGTAAGAACGTAAAGCCGTTATAAAATACATAATTAAATAAAGAATATAAATAAAAGAATGATGGATGCTTATGGGATTCCTGAAGACACGACATATTTAATGTGTCTGGTACTTCTACTTGAAGAGCCCCAATTAGGTACGTAGAATGACAAGATCCTTAAATACCAAATCAAATAGTTGATTTGATGTCGAGAAATTTGATCGTCACTAGGCAAAAATATAAAAATGTATTTGTGTAGTTTTCTCTAGAGGAAAGAGAGTATGGTGTGTCTATGATAGAATTAATGTTTAATAAATCTCCGTGACTAGCAGTACATCGGATATACACGAAATATTTGTACATCGGATGTATCCCATTATTTATACATTACAATTCTAAACTTTATTTAAAATGATGAAGTAGAAGATTTAAGTATTTTTCTGTTGGTCCTTTTAAGCAAATGGGTGTTTCATAAATTAATTTTGTTTCTTTTTAATGGAAAATTTTGGCATGTGTCTCTGGGTTATAGCCACTTATAGCCACAAATAGCTATTGCGTTAAAGTAGATCTCTAGAGGGCTTTGTTTTTAAATAAAGCAAAAAATTACAAATTATGATTTAATACAGTTTTCTTCGGGATGTGCGATATGATATATTATAAATCACCACAACTTATATTTCCATAGCAAACTAACAGTAATATAGAACTAGAAGAAGAACATATCCAACCAGAAGACGAAGCTACAACTTCCCATCAGAAAATTTCAACCCATACCTGGCTATGCCGACCGGTATAGACACCAACGGCGTGGACACAGCTCAAATTGTTGTTTCAATTGGGTAATTTTAATTTTTCTGCTACATGAGTTAAATCATTAATAGTCTCTACATTAATAACTCATCTTTATTTAAATATGTTTATTATAATTATATTCAATCTATTGAATTGCTTCCAGTTTTACTAAAAGATCCATCTAATCTGACCCAAGGTAAAAGGAGCAGGTACCCGGCTTAGAATCAGTCCAAGCATGCTCAATGGGATTTAGATCGGGACTGTGCCCTGGCCATACCACTTAGGAAATACCTACATTGTTTAAATATTTCGTGAAAATTCGGGCGGCATGAGGGCCAGTGGCGGAGCGTATACGTGCCGGGGAGGTCATTCAGCATATCGTTTATATTCTCTTTTCCAGAGGATCATAGGCAAAATCTGGATTCATTGATAAACAACACAAATCTCCCGTCGTCTGCATTTCAATTTTATTGTAATCTGGCTACTCGATGGTCTCTGGAAAGTTCGCGTCCTGTAGATCTCAGATTAGTTTCATTCACTGTCTTCTAACGATTCGCTCAATAACATTTACGTTCCTGACATGTTCAACGGTCATTCCGCCGAGTAGTTCTTCTCTGGGGATCAGTTCCAGGACGTCGAGTGTAAGTCTTTATCAGACGTTTAAATATACGTTGCACCCTAGACAGCACACTGACGACATTTTGTCGACATTTTTTGGTAATTCTTGGTCATCGACGTGTGACTTTAATTTGTCGTCACTATTAAATTAAGGTTTATATTAAACGTGATTTCAATACATTTTATTTATGTAAAATGATATGACCTAAACAAGTATTTTTTAAAACTCTTAGGTCTATTAACGTTTAAATCTGGCGCTTAAAATGCATAAAGTTTTTATGACACCACGTGACTGCGTTTGTGTGTGGTCATTGGTCTGTGGAATATGGCTCGTATGTATTCGAGCCTTTCGAGCAAGCACAAGAACGGCGTCGCGGATTTCTGCATCGGCCATGTGTAATGGTGTGTGCATCGTGGCCCTTGTGCATTCAGGATTGTCGTTAAAAGTTAAAAGTCAGTGAAAAAAGTTATATCAATATCAACCCAGCATAAGGAATGTGCCTTTTAGTATTTTTAAATCTATATTTTCCATATTCTTTAATGATTTGGTATCTATTACATTCATAGACTGTTTCCTAAAATGTTCCCAGGTTCGTAAAATAGTATAAAATGGCAGCACTCATAGAAATATCATTAGAAATTAATTGTCTTTATAATTGTGGCAAAGCCAAAATAATAACGTCCAAGTTGGCCACATTTGGAGCAGATAATGTTATATAAATTACTGTTTTTTGCCAATAACATTCTCTTTATTTTATATTTCGTGTATTTAAACCGTTTTTATTTTTAATTATTATTATTTCATTTTCTAATTTTGTTTTATTAAGTGATCCACAATTCCTATAGAAAAGTTACAAAGAAGCAACAATATCAAATATAATGTCATCTTGACGTTCAAATAACGACAAAGTAGGCATTAAAACAACGTCATAAGGACGTTATAAAGACTACTAGGAATCGTCATAAAGACGTCATATTTAGATGTGAAAAGGACGTCTAAATATGACGTCATTTGGGCTGTAACATATTCACGTCATTTTACCGTCATTATCACGTTAGTTTTCATAGGATAAGTGATGTCGGTTATTACGAAAATAAGATGTCATAATGACGTCAGTCTGCTGCCAGGGACGGTGCTGCGTGACATGACGAATCTGCCACGTAATTGACCCTTTCCGTCTTATCTTGAATGACAGCAACAATAGATGCAACAATTTCTGCGCTTAAAGGCATCTCGAAATTAGCACTAATTGATACAAGCAAGTTATTAACCCTTCACATAACCTAACCTAACTTTAAACAATACTAAACATAAAAAATATCATCGTGAAAACAATTGAAAATGCGTAGCTTACTAGAACATTGAAGATTGCGCAAAATGATAACTTTCACATTGTTTAGATTTTTGTATCTAAAATACGTACAATTTGGAAGACATTTCTTGATAAAAACTCTTCGGGGTATTATTCTACTAAACCGTGTGCATTGTTGGCCAAATGAATAAAATAGAAATAAAAACAAATTAAAAATAAAGGCATTTTTGTCAAAAATTATCGGGGTGCCCCTTTTACGTGCCGGTGAGTTTATATGCCGAGAATACCGATCAAGGAGAAGCGACAGTAGCTGTCGGTGCATTTGATATCGGATGGACCTTTTTCGCAGCATGACTTTGATTAATACACAACTTAATACGCTGAGAAAACATGCTTATTTTCTACACTGAGCGAAATAGTTTGGCAAATTATCTGAAATCATTGTTATAGTCCATGCGCAAATGTTGTAATGTGATTTAATTACAATAGGGTTAATAGCAATGGTGAAATTTCGGCACCAAAACATAATTCTTTATGTAATAATTAATTATTTGTTATAAAAGTAAAAGACGTTTATTATTTTATAATTTATCTATAAAATTTGTTTAATATTTGGTTTATTTATTGTTAAAAATGTAATAAAAGCCCCATATCTAAATTAAATTACCTTTTCCTTAAGTAAAAATAAGGTAAATAAAATTAAGTTAAGTTTTTTGGCACATTTTATATCTATATCTGTATTAGTAAATGTGTAAAAAATCTTCATCTTATTACTACACAAAACAAACACCAATAAATATCACTTAACATTGCTCACGTACTAAACACAACTTGGACTGACTTTGACAGATAACATTATTTTGAGTGATACACGATACACAATTTTTTACACTGAAAACACCAAGGTGTCGCTTCTCCTTGATCGGTATTCTCGGGTATATGTTTACACATTGTTTTTCTTATTAAAATACCAGTTATCAAGAAAATATTTGAAATTTGGCAATGTCGATGCAAGGATAAATGCTTTTATCTGCGCGCCTCCAACTTCAAATTGGAGATTCAAAAATATTGAAATATTGAAAGTTTGATCTTAGGTACCTATGTCTAATGCTAAGCATCAATCTAGAATATAGAATGTACTGAAAAATAACTCACCAACAAGGGATATATCCAAAATAGTCAACCTGATCCTCTGATTGGTCTGTCCAATAATTTTCCATTTACATTCCGTTTGACCCGAATAGAATCTCGGATAGCCTGGATTACGGATGTATCCTTCTGAGAGTCCTTTCGTATGTAATTCTGCCAAGTGGATCACGCTGTTGCAGTACTTATGGATTCTATCTTCTGGAAAACAGAGAAATACGGCGTTAGGAATCTCTAGACGATCGTAAATGGAACGGAAAATTGGGTTTATGCTAGGCCATTGCAGGTCACGAATAACGCCGTAAAGATGAGTGTATTAAACAACTATTTTTCTATCAATGCTGAAAGTTATGTTATACGAAATTGGATTCGAAAATGTATTCATTAAAAATGTAGTAAATAATAATATCCCTATAATTCACATTCATATAAGTGATTTTCTAAAGCTACTGATAATGCCAATTTGCTTTCAGGCGAGAAAATTCTTCATGCTATTAAAAAATAAAAAAAATAATGATATGCCCAGGATAATTAGACATTCCAACGACCTGTCCAAATGGCTACCAGTGGGTTTTGACAGTTTAGATATGGCAACCCTGTGGGCATGTTTTCATTAACAGGGTCAATGATACCTATATAGTTATATAGATTCAAAGCGGATCGTTTGCGAGCGGCCATATTGCCTGGCTAATTTAAATCGGTTTAGCAAAAATGCGTTTTAAAACCAATTTTCGGCCTTTGAATATTTAAAAAAAATAATTAATAATAATATAATAATAATATTAATACTCTCCCTAATTCACCCCCTTACGAGTGAATTTCAACCCCTGAAGTCGACTGAACGACTTGTGTAGGGGAAGGGACGGCTATTATTATTATTTGCCGTGGCGCTCCGGGGCGACTTAAGGATGATTGATGGTGCCATTTGACTTACAGGTGAGGAACACCCGGAAAACCTCACCCACCATCATCGAGACGATAATGTATGGCGATTTTATAATCTGCATGTCATATCAATAGAAATTGAATTTCTATTAATACGGCACACATCAAATCCTAAACCGAACCATGCAATTTAATTAAAAATCCACATGGTCTGGTCTGGGATTCGAAGCCCAGCAGTCTTGGACTCATAAACTTGCCTATAAATGAATATAAGCGCGTTAGACCGCTACACCATCGACCCTACATTTTTACTTCAATGCATAAGCTTATGTTTATTTTTAAAACCATGGATGATCAATCTATATAACTGTCTATATCATTGACCCTATCAAACCACCAGGTTTACAGTGTTGCCATATTATAACCTATCATGTGCTGTTAGTGGCCTGCCATTTCAAACGGGCAGCCATTTTGTTTGGAATGCCTAATTCGTAGAATTAGGCTTTCCAACGACCTGTTCAAATGGCTACCAGTAGGGACTGACAGTTTAGATATGGCAACCCTGTTGTCATGTTGTCATTAACAGGGTCAATGATACATAAATAGTTATATAGATTGCTCAAAGCTGGTCGTTTTCAAGCGGCCATATTGTCTGGCAAATATTTATTAATTTGAGTCGGTTTAGCAAAAATGTGTTTTAAAACCAATTTTCAGCCTTTGGATATTAAAAAAAATAATTGCTTACATTTTTACTTCAAGGCATAAGCTTATGTTTATTTTGAAAAATATGGATGATCAATCTATGTAACTATCTATTTCATTGACCTAGGCCTACAGGGTTGCCATAATTTTGCCATATCATAACCTGTCAAAACCACTGATCTGTATTAAAATAATACAGATCAGTGGTCAAAACCCACTGGCAGTCATTCAGTTTGGAATGCCTAATACCCGAGAATCGGCTAATACTTTAAACTGATAGTTTGGAGTCCTTTTTGTCATGCGCACCGACCGTTTTTTACACCTATATCGGCTTAGAAATAAGGAGAAGTGCTTAGGGATACCTTAGGGCCAGTCATCCAGTTCGTGTGCGTTTTGCTGTAATCGGAACAGTACCACACGACTAGTATCAATATAACTTTCCTCTTATTCGACAATTTCGTATTACTCGTGCGCAATCTGCGCCTGATCATAGGCATTCTGAATGGTCATTGCCAAGTACGGAAGCATCTCCTTTGCATAGAGACCATCGACCTTATATCCTATACCATTGCCCGACACTCCCATTTATTAGTAGATTTGTGTTCGGCGAGTATCGCCTGACATAAGAGAAGCACTTCTTGGTACAGCAGTGAATAATCAAACTATTGAAATAGACGAAGAAGCTAAAAGATTAGTAGTAATATTAGATCGGAATCAAAGATTTGAAAAACACGTGAATAACCTAATTCAACGAGCTTATTCTTTTCTCAAATTGATCTGTGAATTAATTTCACAAAAAATTAAATTACTTCTATATTTTATTATTCAGATTCAGTTTAAATTGAACAAATTTAACAAACTACTATCAATCCAAAATTAAAAAAGTTTAAAGTTGATGTTTGAGATTAATTTATGGAATAAAAATATGCCAAAGAATATAATATAGCGTGATAGAAGCAGAATTGCTTAATATAATAAATAGAAGGTTCTTTCCATCTGGGATTTTTTATTTTAAAATAGTTACAAGAAGAAGACCATCTTATCTGCACAGAAAATTAATATTTTGTAAGGATGTTCACAGTGGCGGCTCGTGAGGTAGTGCCACTGTGCCATGGCAATACCTTATTTTTGATGCAAAAATATATTTTTTATTTTTAAAACTTCTTATCATATTTTTATTTTATTTTATGGATTTATTTTTATATTCAAAAATTATTTGAAATGTGGCAACCTCGCGCTGCATAAATCTCCAAGGTCTTGCCGCGTACCAGAGCCATTTCTCAGCTGGCACTAGGGGAGAGAGAGAAAGATTTTACCAGCAGCCTATGTGAGCAACAGAGATGGGGACATTTTACATGTATTTAAACGGTAAAATCAAGGAATGTTTGTGCTAGGCACAGCGCGGATAGCTGTTCAGATAATCGCGGTTTCTCGATAATGTCGATTGTTGACTGAATTAACCGAATTTTTTTACGCGCTTTTAAGTTTTTCGTTACGTTACGAAGTATTATTAGTGACGTTAATGTGTGTCTTTTTGTTTTCGATAACCTTGTTTAAATATATTATTTCCTAGTTTTTAATTTATTGTAACAATGAATAAAATTGGCGCCTTAAAAAACTCTTTTAGTGGTTTTTCGCTAGAAGAAAAACTACAAATTAAAGAATTAGGCCGGCCAATAAATTGTATAAGGTTTTGTGGAGCTTTTGAGTTAGCTTTAAGGGGTCACGATGAAAAAGATAATTCAGAAAATAGAGGCATGTTTAAGGAGCTGGTGAATTTTAGCGCCGAAGTAGACAACGACTTAAAGGTTCATATTCAAAGTTCCAAAGCTTTCAAAGGTACCTTAAAAACAACTCAAAATGAACTTTTTGAGTGCATATTAGATGTTTATCACGAAGAAGTTTGGAAAGAAATAGAAAATTCTCCTTTTGTTGCAGTGATTGCCGATGAAACGACGGACGTTGCTTGTGAATTTCAATTAGTTATAGTTTTCAGATATTTGTGTAAAAGACGACCACTTGAGATATTTTGGAGGTTTTACATGCTCGATGGACACGACGCCCAATTAATCGCTGAATGCAATTTAAAAGTTTTACATCCATTATTAAAACATAGTCCAAATAAATTAATTGCTCAAAGCTATGACGGCGCGTCAGTAATGAGTGGTGGATTAAATGATGTGCAAACAATTATTAAACAATCATATCCTCTTGCAAATTACGTTCATTGCTATGCACACCAGATGAATTTAGTTATGACAAGTGCATGTTCTGTCAATTAGCAGGCTAGAATATTTTTTTCTAATTTATCTGGTTTGTGCTCTTTCTTTTCCACGTCTCCTCAAAGAACAAAAATTTTGGATGAGGTAGTTAATCGCATGTTGGAATTTTCAATCGCGAATTGTTCATATTGTTTATGAGAATAGAAAAGACCTCATTACAGTTGTGGACATTATATTATTCAAGCAAGTGGGTACAAATTAAAACTTCAGGTTAAAAATTTTATCTTTTGGTTAAGTATTTTTCATCAAATAATGCCTCACGTGGAAATTATTTTTAACCAATTACAAAAAGTATGCACAGATTCTGTTAATGTCAAGAAAGATTTGGAGAATTTCGAAGCAGCAATTCAAGGTATACGGGAGCAAATGGACAGCATTATTGACCATATTCAAGGAGAAATAAATACGTCGCAAGGAGAAACTGGTGTACCAATAAGAAAAAAGCACGAATTGTAGAGAACAGCAGAAAGCGCGAAGCCTTAGAAATATGCGATGCCGTTTTATTGCAAATAAAAACAAGGTTCGACTTCTCTGGGCATTTGGTCGCTTCTAATTTATTTATGTCAAAGAAGTTTTCTCTCTATAAGCATCAGTTTCCCGAATAATTCCTCAATGAAACATGTATACAATATTTATTTTTAGACAAAAATATGCTTAAAAATGAATTACAAGTACTGTATCAGAGAGACGAATTAAATACCACCTCCGGAGCTGTCCCGTTGTCAATTTTATTAAATGAGGAAAGTTTAAATTATACATTTTAGAAAACATTTAAACTTTTAGGTATTTTGATAAAAATACCTACGTCAACATCTGAAGCAGAGCGCTATTTTGCAATGCTTAAACGGATAAAAACATTCCTCAGAAATACAATGAAGGAAGAAAGACTTAGTGCTTTGGGTATGTTGTCCACAGAAAAACATTTTGTAAATGTAATTAAAAATTTTAATAATAAAGTAATTGAAAACCAAAAAAGAAAGAAGAATAGACTTCATTTATCGGAAACTTTAAAACTAGTATATCAAGCAACTTTGTGCGCGTGTGTAAGTAAATACTGTGAATAGGTACAGTTTTATTTTTGTGATTTTTCAGGTATATGGACCTAAAGACTCTTTATGATAATAACTGCAAGGACTTTCAGCATTAATTACTGGGGGTAAGTTAATTTATAATTTTTAATTAATTTTACAAAGTTCTTTGATAAGTTTTGAGTAATTTATTGGCAAAGTTTAGGATAAGACTAACCCTGACGGCCTGTTTCGTGGCAAAACTTGTGTTAGAAACCTCATAAATAGTAGTCATATAATAGATATAAAAGTATCCGTCCTTCAT